ATGCAAAATCATTCCACATTTTACTAATTAGTATCATGATAGATGTTTAGCCCTAGAAGAAAGGAAATATGCTTGTTTAGTGTTCTATGACATTGTTAAAACTTTTGACCGTGTTTGGCACAAAGGGCTTATCACTAAATTAAAGTATTACAAAGTATCTAATGAGCTGTTAAGGTGGTTCATAAGCTACTTGTCAGATAGGCAGCGAAAATGTTTTATTTCAAATTCTGTTTCTCGTACTGGTCTTATAAAAGCAGGTGTGCTTCAGGGTTCTGTATTAGAGCCAGTTTTATTCCTCGTTTATATCAATGATAAGAAATGCAAGGTGATGAAAGCTAACAGCAGGAATGAAGAGAAGTTGAAGGTGCGAGGGAATGAAGTAGAAGAGGCAGAGAGCTAATGTGACAAAGGACGGTGGAGGAGCAGCGGACCTGAAAAAGGGAATAGCCTTGGCAAGTGGACAGTTCAAATGGCTACCGAACATCTGGCAAGCTGGTAACATCAACAGAATGGTCAAAGTCTCCCTTTTTAAGAGCCTCATAATATCGGTGTTGCTCTTGGGTGTGAGACTTGGAAATTGACCAAGGGAGAGGAAGGAAAACTAGATATCTTTCAAAAGAAGTGTCTGAGAAGGATCTTCAGAATTCGATGGGAGCAGCACATCTCGAATAAGACAGTTCTGGAAATGGCAGGGACAGTGAAGATAACCCAGGAAGTGAGAAGAAGGAGATGGAGCTGGATTGGACACGTCCTGAGGAAGAATCAACGAGATGACTGTGCTGTGGCCCTCGGATGGACACCAGAGGGGAAAAGGAAAAGAGGCCGCCCATAAAACAACTTGGCGAAGAATGGTGGAGGTGGAGCGGAATGGCGCTGGCTGGAGTACCTGGAACTCTGCACGCCGTGCCGCCGAAGATCGAAAACAGTGGAGAAGGGATGTCCAAGCCTTGTGTGCCTACTGGCACAGAGAGAATTAAGGTAAGGTTATATCAATGATAAATTTATACGATTATATTATGTTAATACGATACCTCTCTTCTTCGCACGTCATGTAGAAAATACCTTTAACACAGATCTTGATTCATAACGTAATAGGGCAAACACTTGGATAGTTGATTTCAATGCTAGCAAAACTAGTGTTTTATTTGTTACTAACGCTGTAAATCTTGATGGAAATTTTAAATTAAATTCAATTAAATAAAGAAGTGACAGTCATAGACATTGGGAGTAGTTATCAAGGCAGAAGATAAATGGAAAGATCACATAGTATCTATCCATACATCTGTCATAAAGAAAATAAATGTTCTTGGAGTCTTAAGCATACGTTGAAAAGAGAAACTCTATTGATAATATATATGTCTTTTATCTCGCCGATGTTTGATTACTGCAGTGAATCATGGGACGGATGTACAGTTCCTGAAAGTGAAAGTTTAGAAAAATGCCAACATGAGGCAGCTTGCATCATCACCGGTCTGCCATCCTATGCTCCTAACAACTCTCTTTATTTCTAAACAAGATTAGACAGACTATTTGAGAGAAGAATAGGAAATAAACTTCAATTACTGTTTAAAATAACAAAACAAAACAAAACGGTCTTACTCTAGATTTTCTTAATAGAATTCCTCCTAACACAATTATCTTAACTTAATAAATGTTAACGATTTCATCTTACCAAATTTTAGACTTTCCTCTACTAATTCATCCTTTCTTCCTTCTATTCTTCGTTGTAGAAATAATAACGATGTTGCAGTTAGATCGTCAACAACTCATAGCAAATTTTAAAACTCCATCTCACGAAAAAAATATATATCTTTTCCAGTTATTTTGGATGGTAAACACAAACTTCACATTATTCATACAAGGTATAACTGTAGTTCACTTCATTCTGATCTATTTAGAGAGAACATTGTTGATAATCCTGTCTGTGGCTGCGGATTTCCTAGTGAAAATGCCTATCATTTCTTCTTCGATTGTCCTTATTTTGGACACCACAGGTTAGTTGTATTAAGGTTTGAAATTAGCCTAGATTGTCTGTTATCAGGTATCTCCCTGAATTGACAAAACAAAGCAGTCTTGATGTTTTGTATAGATTTATAAAGACCAGCGGAAGAATAATTCAGAGAAAATCATATTATGTGTACGTTTGTGAAATTGTTTGTTTGCTATCTCTGTCTGTCTGTCTGTCTGTCTGTCTGTCTGTCTGTCTGTCTCTTTCTCTCGCTCTCTCTGTGTCTCTGTCTCTCTCTGTCTCTCTCTGTCTCCTCTTCCTCTCTTTGTCATCTCTCTCAAGTTCACTAATCTCTCTCAATATTTATGTATAGTTTAAATATGTATCAGGAGTAAGGGTGTACTGACTTTGCCTAATTCTATTGTCTTTTTCTTGGCAATTAAATAGGTTTAAACTAATGTTGACGTCCTTAAAAGAGTGGACAATTTCAAATTTTCTTTATTGCTAAGGTATTTCTCTTGAGTATAACCCCGAACGTCTTAATTAGGTTTCAAGAAAATTTGGCATGAATTATCGCCACAAGTCAGATTTTAAATACGTAAATCCAGCCTCGGAGGATATCTTTCTTTGATTTTTAGAACCAAACATTAATTGTTTCAGCTGTTCTTGATACTGGAAAATGGCTATCTTGATTAAAATCGCAAAAAAGTAAAGCAAACAATTTAAAAATAAGTTATATTGACAAGGTTCAAGGCAGGATAAATGCCATTTCTCAAACGTTTCATTTTTTGGTCGTTATGCAACTTGGATTTCGTTATATCTAATTAAGTGTGATATCGAACGCTTCCAAACCAACTAGTCCCGTAAGCAATCGTGTCAGCCTTTTTATCCATCTTATTTAATTCATTGGCTACGTAAAATTACATTTTTATCAATATGTTTTTCATTCTATGACTCAATTGAGAAGCGGCAAAATTACAAGCACGCATGCGCTTTCTTTTTACTGCTGTGTGATGTATCTAAGGTAAACAACACCTTTGAAAGTTATGATTCTCATTTCCTATCCATGTGAAATGAAAATTCCAAAACATGTGATTTTACCATATTTGGAACTTTATATTTGTTACCTAGTAACAAAGGAACCATGGATGATTACTTAAAAATGTTACATAATGACATTAAATTGTATCAGAGTCAACTAGTTGTGCATGTGAGTGGCTGGAGTTTTAGCTGTTAACACATTGTATATAATTAATTGGCTATCCCATTGTCAGCTTGTAGTGATGAAGGGAAATAAATGAACCTCGTGCAAATGAAGTGAAATATATAAACTGTAATGGAAGTAGACATTCATTGGAAAAAACGTTCTCCCGAAAAAAAAACCCATAAAAATGCCAATAATAAGAATAAAAGTGAAACTGTCCTGTTACAACGGCATATGAATAGTTTACTTTTTAAAATAACTTTCTAAATTATGACAATATCACCACACCAAATGTAAGGTTTTGGAAAGCTTGATTACCAGACCTCTTTATGGAATAAATACAAAACGACAGCAACGATTTATCTGTAATGAAGATTGCATGAAGTGCACGACACAAACGTGTTCTACAATTTCGCGAATTGTCAATTCGACTGAATGGAGGCAGAGAGAATGACAGACTTATCACTGACGAGTCCTTTTAGGTCGGAGCAACCCAAGGATACAGCGTAATGCCAGTATTAGAGTTTCATAAGGGTAGGGGAGGCTACTCGAATAGAACGTGATTTCTAAAATTTACACAGGTTGGGGTTGTTAACCATGTTGGAATTATGCCTCTTCTGTAAAAACCAGATGACAAGATAGACATATTTTTTTAGGAGAAAACAACTCATCGATTTGAAATCACCATCTTGCATCAAATCCAATAGTAAAACCAGTTGCAGTATTCAAAATAACAAAAGATTTATAAGGTAAATTTTAGTATTCTCCCAGCTTTGGATTTTGAAAGGTTATCTATTTTCCTACAATAGCTCGTATCACTGTCGACGTCAGCTACATTGTGGTCTAGAAGATGTCTGATTAATTTAACGTCTTCAGAAGAACATGTCCGCGGTCCTGATGTATATCTATAGAGAATGACCCAGTGGGCGTAAATCTTAGAAAACTATGGAAATCGATATCAATGCAAATATTGAGTATAGACGGTTTGGCGTTGAAAACATTGCTTGCAATAATTGGATACAAAGCATCAACATGAGGAATGGGTGGGTGGGGGTGGGGGGGGAACTCTGTATTTCGGGTTTCTTGACCGTTCCTATCATTTGGCAATCGACCTTATTTTAAAAAAAAATACTCTACAATCTTCGTGTTGATTTTGTGCGAGTACACCGAGGCAAATTCATTTAGACGCTTGACATATAGGCCAATGTCAAACACGTTTTGTTATTTTGTTAAGTGTGAAAATATATCATATTTGTTAAGTTGTCTACTTATAAAAAATATATATTTTGAGCCTGATTCTACTTCTCCGTGAATACGGGAAAGACCCCCATTTCCGAAATCAAATAACATTGACAGTTTGTGATAATCAGCTTGATAGACATTAAATCAAGGCATTCTGACTTCCTATCCGCTCTGATGTAAGCTATATAAAATATTGCCTGAGTCTGACCAAAACACACAAATCGCAAAAATTTCCTGTTTTCATAAAGAGAGTAAGTCGTATTATCGACCGAGACCAAGACAAAACATAAAATCGCGGATACACAGTCAAAACCCTCCGTACTAACAGATAGATAGTCAGAACCCTACGGCCTAACGGATAGATAGTGAAAACCCTCCGGACTAACGGATATATAGTTAGAGCCCTCCGGACTAACGGATAGATAGTTAGAACCCTCCGGACTAACGGATAAATAGTTAGAACCCTCCGGACTAACAGATAGATAGTTAGAGCCATCCGGACTATCGGATAGATAGTTAGAGCCCTCCGGACTAGATAGTTAGAACCCTCCGGACTAACGCCTAGATAGTTAGAACCCTCCGGACTAACGGATAGATAGTCATTACTCTCCGGACTAACGGATAGATAGTTAGAACCCTCCGGACTAACGGATAGATAGTTAGAACCCTCCGGACTAACGGATAGATAGTTAGAACCCTCCAGACTAATGGATAGATAGTTAGAGCCATCCGGACTATCGGATAGATAGTTAGAACCCTCCGGACTAACGCCTAGATAGTTAGAACCCTCCAGACTAACGGATAGATATTCATTACTCTCCGGACTAACGGATAGATAGTTAGAACCCTCCGGACTAACGGATAGATAGTCATTACTCTCCGGACTAACGGATAGATAGTCAGAATCCTCCGGACTAACAAATAGATAGGCAGAACCCTCCGGACTAACGGTTCGATAGTTTGATCCATCCGGACTAACGGATAGATAGTTAGAACCATCCGGACTAACGGATAGATAGTTAGAACCATCCGGACTAACGGATAGATAGTTAGAGCCCTCCGGACTAACGGATAGATAGTCAGAATCCTCCGGACTAACAGATAGATAGTTAGAGCCATCCGGACTATCGGATAGATAGTTAGAACCCTCCGGACTAACGCCTAGATAGTTAGAACCCTCCGGACTAACGGATAGATAGTCATTACTCTCCGGACTAACGGATAGATAGTTAGAACCCTCCGGACTAACGGATAGATAGTAAGAACCCTCCGGACTAACGGATAGATAGTTAGAACCCTCCAGACTAATGGATAGATAGTTAGACCCCCGGACTAATGGATAGATAGTCAGAATCCTCCGGGATAGATAGTCAGAACCCTCCGGACTAACGGATAGATAGTTTGATCCATCCGGACTAACGGATAGATAGTTAGAACCATCCGGACTAACGGATAGATAGTTAGAACCATCCGGACTAACGGATAGAAAGTTATAATCCATCGGAAGAGGCAAAAATCTTATAATATGTACAAGCAACACTTATACAAGCCAGACACGTGGGTATAAGCCATTCCCTAATAAATAAGTATTTGTAGAAGCCATTGTCACAAGCAAGCAAACATTTGAAAAATGCCTTCCTACCGACAGAAACATGAAACACTACGGGAGCGTATTCCGGCCACGTTGTGTTTTATTTTAACTCGAAATTCGAGAAAGTAACTCGAAATTTCGAGTTAGTAATCCGAAATTTTGAGATATTAAGCCGAAATTTCGAGATAGCACCTCGAAATGTTGAGTTAGTAACTCGAAATTTCGAGTTAGCAAGTCGAAATTTCGGCTTCGACTTACTAACTGAAAATTTCGGATTACTTATTCGAAATTTCGAGTTCCTAACTAAAAGTTCGAGTTGCTATCTCGAAATTTCGAGATAAAATAAAACACAACATGGCCGGAATACGCTTCTGTAAAACACCGACTTTTTTCTTTTTTCCCTTGTAGTTATCTAGCGTCTAATACACTTGATATCAGCTGAATATAGTAACACAATATTGAAGGGCCACATGATCTCACCTTAACGTTATGTAATATGTTAAAATGAGTAGAACAGAACTTACCTTACAAGGTAGGGATATGGGTGCATTGTCGCACAGGATATAGGTCATATCTGCACTGATTACTTCATAGGTATATCTTATCAGTGACAACTTTTTTTATTTTTGTTTTTTTTTCGTCACATTTTTGATACGAAATCAATGGCAGGAAATTAAGTACCTAGCGACCATAACCATTTTACACTCATTTCTATAAGAATGTTTCTCTCTGATGTGATAGGACTCCTAGCATTTGGTTTGATATTGAAACAAAGGTTTATGAGCAAATCACTCAAGTATCTATAAGTATAAAATTTTAATCGTGGAACGTGACATTTCAACATATAGATTTTTTTGTAACTTGACTACGTGAGAGATTGGGTTAGTATTTGACAACCAAAATACACAAGCAAGTTCAAGTGACACCTAGAACATTACAAACGTACAAAGGTGATCGCCATGTTAAAGTTTCACCACTAAGCGCGGTAGGAGGCATGGCAACTGTGTCATACAAATTAAAACATTCGATACGAAGGGAGCCTGGGTGTAGCAAGTGTGTGACTTAAAAGAATAGGGAACTTTAGTTTGTGTGTGTTGTCTGTGATCAACTCATTCGTCCAACTGGTGTGACATCACGTGGTCATTAAGGGTATGAATTTGAAGAATATTTGGATGTAATACCCTCAAAAAGAAAAAGATATCGAAACAGCTATTGACGGAGTGGAAATATCTGACTATCTCACAATGACCCTGCGGAAATGTTTGTCATATCTCACTTTAACCATGTGGAAACATCTGACATATCTCACAATGCTCGTGCGGAAATATCTGACATGCACGTGTCAAATTCACCGTGTGGAAACGTCTGACATGCCTCACATTGACCTTGTGGGAACATCTGACATATATCAGATTGACCTTGTGTCATCTACATCCTCAGAGTGTTCGTCGGATTCCCTACTCCCGTACACACTACTGGATACACCGGTGGTGAAGGTAGAATTCAAATTACCATATGCCATCACTTCTGTTTGTCCTACAAAGGCAGGTGAGGCGTGGACATGTGACGTCTTGTCCAACACCTTCGGACTCCTGGACAAGGAGGGCCACGTCATGAAGACGAGAGAGTTTGACGTCTGTGTGGTTGACTTCAGTCTATCGCTTGCCAGTCATAACCTCTGGCTTTGTACTAGTGAATGTGACGTCATTGAAATGGAGACGTCAGTATGCAAACCAAACATTCGGTTTAGAACAGATGACGTGATACTGTGTATTTGTGTGACAGACACAGATCACGTGGTAGTAGGTACAATTAACAAGGTCACAATGTACACTACACAGGGTCATGAAGTACATACTATTACGTCACAGACATCTGGGGTGATCAGTCCGGTCCGCCTCACACAATGTCCAGTCACGGGGAACATCGCCTTATCAGACTCTGATGACACTGATTTCGGTGGGGAGAATAAACCGGGCATTATGATACTGGACAACAAACTGTACCCGCTGTACCGATACACTGGGGAGGACATACACGTATCCCGAGATTATTCATTTCATCCACGTGATTTGACATATGACAGCAGAGGGAATCTGGTAATAAGGGACTGGATGAACGATACAGTTGAGCTGGTCAGCGGTACCGGACAGTACATCAAGACTTTACTCGCCGATGACGGAGGTGTAAGGACTTTGGGGATGGTGAGTGAGGACGAACTTTGGATAGTTCGCAATACAGGAGATTTTTGTAAAATATTACAATACCATGATTACACCGTGACAAAATAATAAATATTATTGCTTTGTCAACTATTTCAGGAAAAAAATATACAGGATAGCTTTTTCTGGAGAGAGACGGTGAACGAATCGACAGGAAAACCTCCCAATATAACACTTTTTGCTATACATATAAACCTTTACATCTCAGGTTTTGTTACGTATATTTAAAAAAATGTTGCATAAATTATGACATCAGCGCCGGACTAAGTTGTTTGGAACTCTGTGTAGAGACTGTAGTGTTGATGTAGCGGAGATTTCAGATATCCCAACTTCATGGGTTGACCGGGCGTGTCACGAATCAGCTCTCTGGGTTAATAATATAATATTCAAGTTATGATATCATCCTGATAAATTATCTATTTATTTATTTGCTTCAAACGATGATGTATCAAGGAATTATCACAAACAAAATGATACAGTTCATTTTTAATCATTTTTTCAAGTTTTAGTACTTTTGATCACGAAAGTCTTTGTAATATTACATTTCTTTCAAAAAATCTGAAGTTCGGATGTATGTGAAAATATCGAAATGATATTGTAAAATCATCTTTTATGTTTATGCTTTTTCATGATGTAAAATTGAAGCTGAAAATGTCAATGTGCTAAAATGGTTACTCTCACTGTTTATCCGATACATGTTAAAAGATGATTAAAGTTTGATATTGATTTCCAACTTCTGACGTGAATTTTGTACCTTTTATTCAAAAACAATAACAGTAAGTAAAAACAACACGTGAATGTTGAGTTTGGTGTTACATTTATTTCTTTGTTTTAAGGAAAATCACACATAATCACAATTAGACGTAAGAGTAACACCTGACAAGACAAACCTTTATACCATGCGCCTTGCATGCAACTTTTTTTTAGAGAGATGGTTGCGACCAAATGGATCGCCGAAATTTGCCAGCGAGATTGCCGGGAACGTATCACAAATTTTGCCAGCGGGATTGCCGTAACGTATCACAAATTTGCCAGCGAGATTGCCGTAACGTATCACAAATTTGCCAGCGAGATTGCCGTAACGTATCACAAATTTGCCAGCGAGATTGCCGTAACGTATCACAAATTTGCCAGCGAGATTGCCGTAACGTATCACAAATTTGCCAGCGAGATTGGCGTAATGTATCACAAATTTGCCAGCGAGATTGCCGGGAACGTATCACGTAAATAAATGGTGGGTTTAGTCATCAAAGAAATGCAAAAATGGTCGCATAACCTCAAACGTAGAACTGAAATGTTATTAACTTATTTTTAACTTGATTTAGATGTAAATCGTAGTTCTGCTTTCTGCATAAAAAACAAACAGAACAAACGGTACCATGAAAATGTCTCCTCAATTTGTAGACATAGAAAAATTTGGCGATTTAAAATTTTGTAAAACACTACACAATCTATGTGAGAACATTCTAAACTAGACTTTAGTTTTTTAATCTATCGTTGATTTGTAGTGACTGTTGTCAAGTACGTAAGCACGGATCTGAATACCAACTTGTGCTTTCTCACTCATATGTCAGTTTGTGCAGGCTTGGTTATTTCTTCATTTTCACCAGTTCTTAATTAGCATTGTTCTCTTCCGAGTATCTTTAAGAAAAATAAAGACTGATATAGTTTTGCTATCTGTAAAAGGGTATATGTGATGGTCCCAAACGTTTAGTACTTTTGCATGCAATAATCGAATTTGAAATTACCGTCTTATATCTTATATAAAACTTACCGCTAAGGTGAGATTTCCCTGACTTCATTCTATATAAAATTACGTACACGTACCTCAAATTTCTTGATGTGCAAAAATCCACTTAGAAATGAAAACAGGAATCTTGGTGTATACTGCTTGGAAGTTTTGTTGGACAAAGGGAAACAACTCGTATGAAACTATAACATACCGCTTTGTTATATTACTGACGGTTTGAATTTCGATCGTCAGATGAACAAACTAGACTGGTCCATGTCTCTTGAATATTTAATTCATAAAAAATAGTCATAGAGTTCTGATATCTTAAATGGGTCTGATTCGAGTTTCACAGAAACAGAAATCGTAAATGTTATTACCGAATGTATTGTTTATTTTCAAAATATTTACCGATTTAAATGCATCCAATTTATCTGAATCAATTGTGATAAAACAATTGATATCAGCTATTTTTTTTTTCTATACCGATTGTTGAAACCTGAAATCTGTACCCGATCTTAGAAGATTATCCATTATTGCTACAAAATCATAATATTGTGTTTGTTGGATTTTACTCTGTAGAGTATTGAAAATAACCAAGAAAAAACAACTCACGTAGCCGGGCAACTGACCCGTACCTTTTCATGTCCAACCACGGAATCGAACCTGGGCCGCTTACATGAAATGTTGAATCGATCACCAGCACGGTCCTAATACAAACAAACAAACAAACAAACAAACAAACAAACAAAGCAATTGGTATAGTTACCATCATTTCAGCTGAAAAAACTACATTACATTGGAACTAAAGTATACAAGTGCATGTACATGTTTTCAGCTGAACACTATGGGTGAAATAAAGTTTTAAAAAATCCTATAGTCTTTCTCTAGACAATCAAACATCTGCCTGATTGCTGTTTTGTCCCATACTGGAACAAAACTAATTAACTTATATCTTCTGTTGATGCAATGAATAGTCTTGATATGTTTTATAATATGCATGTCTACTTTTTAGTTTTATACATCTTCGAAACCTACGATCCAAGTCAGAGGTACGGACTGATATTTTGGTGCTTTTAAACATAAAAATGTTTAGCATAATGATCAATATGTTTAGTAGTAAAATTTTTCATTTTTCATTTTCCATGTTTCAAAATTACATGCTATAATACAGTTATACAATAATCTAGGGTCATTGTTATATTTTTAAAACTGCAGTGATATGTATTATGTTGAATTTTCTTATGGAATTTTGAAAAATGGTACGTAAAATGTTAAAAAGCAAAAAAACTATGATTAAAAAATAGTGTAATGACTGAAGGACAGAAGATGTAATTAAAACTCACGGTATCTATTTTTGCTTGAATATGCAAAAAGTGTCAGACAGAAATTGGAATGGAAAAAATCAGACAAAATTAAAAAGAAACTGATAGATAATTGGAAGTTGGAAGAGAGAGAAAGTTAAACGAAAAACAATAACTAAGACATATAATGAGGGTGGGATAGTGTAGCCAGACGGCTTATAGGGAAATGGTGTTCCATCAAATTATAAAAAAATATAGCAGAAAAAAAATCAATTATTGGTTTCATTAAAAGTTATAAATGAATCGTTGATCTAATATTTACTATCAGACCTAATGTGTATCTTGAGTTAATAAGATTTATGCTGGGGTGGCAAGATATTGAACACTATAAGTAGGTGAAGTAGGATTACTTTACAAACTGACCAGAAAAAGATTTCATCACATTGAATTACGGAGTATACAATAGTATGTGTATCTATTTCTATATACGTATTATCTATGTACCTATTCCTATATAAAGTATGTATTTTTTGTATTGTGTTGGTCAGCAACAATTTAGCTAACGTCAGCGTAAATTCATGGTTCAAGATACACGGGATATGCGGGGTTTGATCAACGGGCTTTTTTGAGGTTTGTCAGAGAAGGCCGGGGAGCGCTGGAGAAAGGAACACCATCTCTCACAAACTATGACTCTGCTTGTACCTAAATAAACTACATGAAAGATGAAACAACGCCTTTGTGCTTATACTCAATCGGGCCACACTAAATTGTACTGACTTAAGGTCACATGTCGACACAATAAGAATAAGTGGGTAAGAAAACTAGTATTTAAAGATAATGCATTACGGAAAGTTGTCCCACAACTGCAGCTCAACGAAGTTCGGCCAAATCATTTAATTTGTATAATGAATTTAGATAAGTTGTGATCTCCCAAAACATGGATAACACTATATTAACCATTCTATGAGCCAAGCGTTTAAATGACATGCTTTCACAAATCATATAAGGAAATAAAAATATTAAGATGAATGGCAAAGTTCTATACAAAAACGGGTTAGATTCAGGGATATCAACACTAAAAGGTTGTTTTACAAAATCAAGACATAAGTATATATGAAAAACTCAATAATGAAACCAATTTGTTATTAGAATTAACAACAACAACAACAACAACAACAACAACAACAACAACAACAACAACAACAACAACAACAACAACAACAACAACAACAACAACAACAACAACAACAACAACAACAACAACAACAACAACAACAACAACAACAACAACAACAACAACAACAATAAAAGAACCAAATATATGATCTAGAAAAATAGAAGAAAGTCGTGTAAACTTGCAGAACTCTAAGTTTCAGTAGAAAGTGATATTATAATAAAACAAAGTGAATGAAACACTGTACTAATGAAGATACCTACACCAAAATGAGGTGAAAAAGACCTGGCCCCACTTGTATAAAACATCTCAACTTGAGATTTCCTCATGCTCAGATTTTCCTCAGCTAATATCTCCTTGAAAATATCTTGTATGAAAATTCCTCAAGGAATTTCAGGACATCCTAGCCGATGCCTTCCTCCTGTTCCTTGAGAAAATTTTATACAAGCCGTTTTTGAGGAGATATCAGCTGAGGAAAATCTCGACTTGAGGAAATCTCAAGTTGAGATGTTTTATACAAATATGTTGACTATCGGTAGTATGCATTCAAAATGGAAGTATACAAGCGGGTTCATTCTAAGTACATCATTTTAAAATAATCAGACGAAAGAGTTTAAATGGAAACTTTTAGATAACATTCTGACATCTAAACGAGATTCTTCCAACGTAGAAAATACTCTAAAAGTAAATATTGTAACACAAGAGACGACTAAAAAGTAAATACAATACCTTAAAGCAAATGTTTGAAATACTCGGATATAAGAAAAGACACGTGACGCTAAAAAAACCTGGTCAATGGATATAAAAGAGAACTTCAAATTGTTATTAAATGACCTTTTGTACTGACTGGGTTCATCACTTACGTTTGCACCAGCTTGACATAACTAATATATTCAAACAACACATACAAAGCACAGTAGGTGAAAACATATACAGAAACATATATAGAAAAACCTTCCAAAATGTGCTTCAGTTTCTTAAACATGACGCTATCCGAACCAGAGACATCATGTGACTTCTAATCTCTTTAATAAGCACCGTGAAATGTGTACAAGGAAGTGATTCCGCTAATTAAAGGGACATAACTCTTACAAAAATTATCAAACCGTATCGCTATCTCGGGTTCATGAACCTAAAGAAGCATCGAGTTTATTTTTATTAAACACTGCTCTTCCTGTGAAGTCATCCTTCTGCTACTGGAGAAGCTGCAGATATCTTATATTTATATTTGGGAAAATCAATGTTGATAATTATCCGTATCTGGTTTAAGTTTTTGAAAACTTAGAGTGTAAACATATATGACTTGGATGAATACTTCCTGGTTGGACGATACGATAAGTAGATAAATGAAGACAGGAATTCCGGTATATGACAGATTTCCGGAGGTTTTCTGTTGTTGTCAGTGAACCATCTATACACAGATATACAGATATACGTGATCCAGGACACAGATGGGGTGTTGACTGGAATGGATAGGTAAGATTGAAGTTCATTTGTATGTAACATGTAATATCGTGATAGAAAATAGGGTCACATTAAGCTAAACTACGTGTTGTATTATGTGTGTTACATGGTCTGTTTCTTTCTGTATCGCCTATTTCTAGGTATTAGCCACGATAACGATCATACCCTGTATCTAACTGTGTAGGATGTTTTGTCACCGCGATAATCTTCCATTTTAACAAATCGCCTATAAGCTGCTACCAATGATTTTTGTTGAAGTGAACATGTGCATGACAATATTCAAGTGTTAAACTGAAAACTGTTACACAACGTTTCATCAATTATATAGATTTACAAGGTCAAGCACTTAGACATCAGAACGGCCAGTCGTTTTGACCATACCAGAGAACAAAGTATAGACATCACCGGGTGAATTGTGTATACGTCACCAGGGTGAATTGTGTATACGTCACCAGGGTGAATTGTGGATATTTCACCAGGGTGAATTGTGTATACCTCAACAGGGTGAATTGTGTATACCTCACCAGGGTGACTTGTGTATACCCCACCAGG